AAAAAAAAAAAAAAAAAGACCTGGGATGCACGTACATGCCTTCTCTTGGCTACCTTGTGTTTTTGGATGCTGAGGTTGTTTTTTTTTTTTTTTTGGTTTTTTGAGACAGGGTTTCTCTGTGTAGCTTTGTGCCTTTCCTGGAGCTCACTCTATAGACCAGGCTGGCCTCAAACTCACAGAGATCCGCCTGCCTCTGCCTCCCAAGTGCTGGGATTAAATTAAAGGCATGTGCCACCACCCCTAGCAGAAGCTGAGATCTTGGATCAAGCCGTTTAGCATGGGACATAGCTCAGCTTTTCAGGACCCTATGATAAATCTCCTGTGGTTGTGAGTTTACCCCAAAATAAATTCCTTTGATCATTAAGCTGATTCTGGGGATTGCTAGCAATTTAATCACATTACCCTGGCTGTCCTAGAACTTACTCTGTAGACCAGGCTGGCCTCGAGATCCACCTGCCTCTGCCTCCTGAGGGCTGGGATTAAAGGTGTGCACCACCACTGCCCCTTGAGGACAATGAACTTTTACCCAGTGAGCATGGCCCTTCTGAAGCTGAGACGCTTCACTCTGCACTTAATACTTTCACTATCAATTACACTTACTGCACTTATCCACACGAGACAAACAAAGTCACAAAGGTAACTAGAAAAACAATTAGCATTAGATCCTCTTTCATGACTTATGTCCTTTTCCTGCATTCTAGCCTTCCTCATCACCTGATGTCACCCTTCCTTGTTCTCCTTTCTACATGTTACACTGTATCCACACATACATTTGTTTACATATATACATCTATATGTCATACTGTAGATTCTACATATGAGGGGGAACATGTGGTTTTCCCTCTGTAGTTGGGTGACCTCTCTATATCATACGATATAAGTACATCCATTTTCCTTCAAATTTTGTGATTTCATTTTTCTTTAGAGCTAAATAATATTCCAATTTTTTTTTCTAGACAGGGTTTCTCTGTGTAGTTTTGGTGACTGTCCTGGAACTCACACTGTAGACCAGGCTGGCCTTGAACTCCCAGAGATCCGCCTGCCTCTGCCTCCTGAGTGCTGGGATTAAAGGTGTGCACCACCACTGCCCGGCCTCTTTTAATATTTCTTAGTGCTGCAGTGTCTCACCCAGGCTCCCGGGGTGTGCAGTCTCAAGTGTGGAAGATGCTTCCCCTCCACAAGAAGGCTCATGCCACAGCTAGTGTTGTAGCAGAGGAAACCCAATAGCGAGATTAGATGGTGGCTAGTCAATCACACCGCTGTAGCCACTCATTAGAAAGCCCCTCTTGGCCAGTGTGGAGTCATGAGAAGCAGGAACACAAACTCACACAAGGCAGACATCACCCTTACCCAGGGATTCCCCGCTCGAACTCTTGAGGCAGAAATTCCCTGGAGTAACAGAAAAGGTGACTTCCTCTTGATTTGACGTTAGAAGAACAATGGCCTCAGCCAGCAATCTGTAAAATGTGAAGAAATGTATTGACATTATTTGAAAAACAGCTTTAACCTTACTGGAACTCAAATCTTGACTCTGGATATAAACAGGGTTTAGGAAACTTCCTCCAAAGGTCTGCCTTCTTTCTTGCCGTGAGTGGTTTTAAACTCTACCTGCCTTTGCAGGCCCGCTAAGAGAGCTTAGAAGTCAAGGTCGTGGGGGACGGTAGGCAGTGCCGGCTCAGGAAAACACGCAGAAGCTGCAGTGTGGGCAGCACAGGGAGGCCGTGCTGTAAAGGCGACGGTGAACGGAGCCGCTCAAAGACAGCTGAGCCCCGCTGAGCCGGACACCCAGGGGGTGGTTTGAACTGAGATGGCCCCCATAAGTCTCGGCATCTGAGTGCTTGGTCCCAGTTGGTGGAACTGTTTGGGAAGGATTAGGACAAGTGTGGTCTTGTCAGAGGAGGTGTGCAACGAGGTTTCAAAAGATAGGTGCCAGGGCTGGAGAGAGGGCTCAGCGGTTAAGAGCACTGGCTGCTCTTCCAGAGGACCCAGGTTCAATTCCCAGCACCCACATGGCAGCTCCTAACTGCCTGTAACTCCAGTTCCAAGGGATCTGACACCTTCACACAGACATACTTGCAGGCAAAACATCAAATGCACATGAAATAAAAATAAATGAATTATTAAAGAAATAAAGACAGGCGGGGTGGTGGTGGTGGTGGTGGTGGTGGTGGTGGTGGTGGTGGTGGTGGTGGTGGTGGTGGTGGTGGCACACACCTTTAATCTCAGCACTCAGGAGGAGACAGAGGTAGGCGGATCTCTGAGTTTGAGGCTGGCCTGGCCTACTGAGTGAGTCCCAGGACAGTTAGGACTAAAACCCTGTCTCAGAAAAACAAAAGCAAAAAAGTATAGTAGGTGCTTGAGAGACAGCTCAGCAGTTAAGAGCACTGGCTGATCTTGCAGAGGACCCAAGTTCCAGTCCCAGCACCCACATTGCTCCTCACAACCATTTGTAATTCCAGTTCCAGGGGGTCAGCACCCTCTTCTGCCCTCTGAGGGGACCAGGCATGTACGCGGCTGGCTCACAGACACAAAACACCCATATACAAAAAATACAATGTTTTAAAATAAAATTACATTATAACAAAACAAAGAGGAATTGCAAGTTCTGCCGTCCTTTTGAACTTGAAGTGCTGTTAGATAAAAATGACGTTCTTAGACTTTATGCAGGCCTAGTTGTTAGCCTGACGCTAGACATAGTTAACAGTGTATCTTGATGCCAGAGTACCAGGAACAGCTATCATGTTCATCTGGGGACTTCTCCCTTGTTTAAAGGGAGGTGTTAGACACACGCCTAATAAATGTGTTCTGAGCCCAAGTCTTGCTGTGTAGCCCAGGCTGGACTGGAGCTCAATTCTTCTGCCTCTGCTTCCCATGTGCTGGAACACCAAACAATTCCTTTCCTTTGTGTTTATGGGGGTCAAACCCAGAGATCTGTAGGTGTTAGGCAAGAGTTCTGTCCCTGCGTTATACCCCACACCACAGGATACCAAATACGTTGATATCAAAACGATGGCGACACGGATGTGCAAGGGAAGGGAGGAGAAATGCCAGGCACGTGGGAGCACAGGCAGGAGGACTTTCAAGTTCAAGGCTCACTTCAGGTGTGAGACTTGTCTCAAAAGTCTAAAAAAAAACTGCTAATAAACATAGAATTCTCAGACTCACTATTAACAACGAACTTTACCTATGAGGTGGTCAAGTTTGTCAAGATTTCTTATGTCCTCTACCTAGAACTCCTGCACTTCTGGTGAGATAGAGAAGTGATCTAAACTCCTCAGACGATGACTGAGCTGTCAGAATACATGGGAAGTCAAAGTGTGCCTCAGCCTCTGAGCCACTGACTCCATTTCTAGGACTGAGAGGAGCCTGTACCACGGCCCTAGCGACCCCCACGTCCCTGGACTTGGCCCTTGCTCCCCTCTCTGGAGTGTGACTGGACCTAGACTCCTTTCCGAGAGAGACTGGCAGGAGCTGTGAGCGGCAGTTCTGGTCTGAGTGTGAAAGGCCTGAGGCCTGGTCTTGGAGCTCTCTCTCATCACTGCCATTTGTGAGGTTGCTGCTTTGTGAGGACTCGGCAGCAACCTCATGTTTGGGAATGGGTCTTCCTGAGCTTCCAGCAGCCCTACCAGAGTTCGGGAGTGCCTCCCTCCCTCCCTCACCGTGAGCCTTCAGATGACACTCACTGTGCCCTGGTGGTGTCTGTCTTCCAACTCAGGAGAGACCTTGACCTAAGGCTACCCAGATAAGACCCAGCTATTTCAACAGAGTAATAAACCCTGACTCGTGAAGGCTCGCATTTGGGAAAAATTTGTTCCACAGCAATAGATAACGGATACTATTCTGTTTTCAGAACAGATACGATTCAGCAGCGCTTCTGACAGCAAAAATCAGGAAGCAACCTAAACGTACCCCTGTAAGGTAACGAGTAGGAAATTATAGCTCAGACACATAATGAAAAGAAAAAAGCATTACTCAGAATAATGACGTGAACTGATAGGAAAGACCCTCACAATAGAGAGACGGCGGTCATGGGTCATGGCACTCGCTTACCAAACCTGCTGCCCACAGGTTCGGTAGCATGTGCATTCACACACACACACACACACACACACACACACACACACACACACACACACAGGGTGGGGAAGGGGTAGGATGTGTGCTCCAGGGAAAGTCAGCAGACTGCTGACAGAGAGCTACCGAAGGTGGCAGAGCAGCAAGTCTCAGGTCCTTGTCACTCTTCAGTACAATCGGGTGTGCTGCAGTAACAAGGTTCCTTTTGTAATTTAAAAAAGCAGCAAGAGACAATCCACTTTGCTCCAGAGTCATGCTAATTAATAGTCCATGCTGCAGCTGAACTGAATGACTAAGCAGCCTTTCACCGGCAAATATGGCTCTCATTACCTGGAAAAAAACTGAAGTAAGAAAATCAATTTGCATAAGAATGTTCAGCCTCAAGCTGTGTGTTCCAAGGCTCAGACTGAAGTATATAGGTGTGAACTATCACAATAGATTTCCCTATTTGGCTGGCGCCCCAAGTGTGAAGCCACGGGTGGGCGGGTGTTCCAGAGCTGCTGGCCCCCACCGGCTGCTTTCTCAAAGCTTCTTGACAATGTCACTGATCGCTGTAAATCACGGGTCAGCCTTTTAGAAAGTGTAACTAGTGAGAAAGTCCTAGGAGGATATGGGGGCAAGAGAGGGTAATGGGGTGAGTGTGACCAATGTACAACGTACACAACATGAAATGTCATTTTGTGTATTGACTTAAAAAGCATCTTGAAAAGGACAGAAAAGCTCCGGCATGAACTGTTCCCCGCCTGAGGACGCTGTGTTCAGAAGAGGAAGAGGTGTCAGGAGACCCGTTACCTTGGTCTAATCATCAGGATATTGGCACACAAGCTCTTTTCAAAGAGAATTTTCAAGGGCTGGCTGTCTTGGAAATACACATTGTGCGTTCTTTTAATACCTTAAAGAGAACAAAGCAACCTCTTAATAACTGTAAGTGCAAAGTGAACAGGCTTTAAAAGCCTGCCTCTCACAGCTAAATTAAAGCAATAAAATTAATGTTTCCTGTGTGGCAGGTGCATACACCTGCAGCGGAATGTGGCCTTAATGAAATGTGCTGTTGCCCCCTAGTGGACAAAGAGCAACATGTCACATCCTCTGAGCAAACTAAACCAGGTCTCATCCATCCCAGATCCTCCTGCCTCTACTTCCCAAATTCTGGGATTACAGGCACGCATCATCATGCTCACGTACTGGAAATCAAACCCAGGATTTCTTGCATGATAGACAAGCACTCTGCAAACTTAGCCACATCTCTAGCCCCTGAAAAGAAACTCCTTAAATGTGTGTGACCCAGTGACCGGTTTACAGGTCACAGAGCTACAACTCCTCTTCTGAATATTTTATCCAGGACTAGACTTCATAGGAACTTTGGCAGTTAGACATCTAAATCTGGTCTGTGATTTCTTTTGACTTTAGGAGCAACAGCAATGAGGCTGACGTTCTTGTCCTAAATGCCTAGTGTCTCAGGGGCTGGAAAGATGGCTCAAGCCTTGTTCTTGCTGAGGACCAGGGTTCAGTTCCCAGCACCCTCATACAGCTTACAACTCTGGTTCCAGGGTATTTAGCACCCTTTTCTGGCTTCTGAGGGCACCAGGCAAACATGTGGCACATAGACATACATGCAGTATACATACATGTGAACAATACAGTCATACATGTAAAATAAACATATTTTAAAAAAATGTTTCTGATTTAGAAGGATTTTTTGAACTATTTCTATAGACTTTATAAGTTGAGTATCCCTAATCTGAAAATCAGATTTGGGGGGCTGGAGAGATGGCTCAGAGGTTAAGAGCACTGACTGCTCCTTCAGAGGTTGAGTTCAATCCCCAGCAACCACATGGTGGCTCACAACCATCTGTAATGAGATCTGGTGCCCTCTTCTGGCCTGCAGACATACATGCTGGCAGAGCACTGTATACATAATAAATAAATCTTAAAAAATGTAAAAAAAAAAAAATCAGATTTGGGGGGCTTTTAGATTCCAACTTTCAGATTAGGGTGCTCTGTGTGCCAGACACTAGGACACATTTTACATGCATTCTCTCTCGTCCTCACTGCAGCCCTTCTGGGGAGGAGGGACTCAAGCTCAGAAGAGAAAATCCGCAGGTTGGTAAGGCTAAGTGACTTCTCAAGACTACAGTGTTCTAACAAGTACAGAGCCCAGGAGGATACAGGTGTCTTTCAGCTGCTTTCTACAAGGTAGCCTGCAGGCAGCATGATACTGCAGTACAAATCAAAAGATCTAACCAGAGAGATGGCTCAGCCAGCTGACAGAAGTGCTTGCCACCAAGTCTGATGGTTTTAGATTGAACCACACTAAATGTATGCACTCGCACACACATAAACATTTTTTTAAAAGTTTTTTTTTTTAAACTGCCAGGCATGGTGGCACAAGCCTTTAATCCCAACACTCAGAAGGCAGAGGCAAGCGGATCTCTGTGAGTTGAAGGCCAGCCTGGTCTACAGAGTGAGTTCTAGACCAGCCAGAGCTTGTCAGGTCTCACTTGGGGGTGGGGGGGAATAAAACCAGACACATTTCTCCGCTTATGTGTTTGGTGAGATTCTTTGTTGTTTTTGTTTTGCTGAATAACAAGAAGACTGACTGAGACGGTTTTAATGATAGCCTTGGCTGGCTGGAAACTCACTATGTAGACCAGGCTGACCTCAGACATTAGTAACCCTGCCTTTGCCTTCCAGTGCTAAGTGTGCAGCTAAGTTCCAGCAATTACTAACTTAATAAATATGCACATTTGTGTGTTATCAGGTCTTGTTAATTTGGCTGCATAACAAACACTCTGAAATTGAGTTCCTTGTATAATAAACACCTGTTATTTCTCATGATTTTACTAAGAGGTTCCTGAGGTCTACCCTAAGCTTAGCTATGAAGGATCATCTGGGGTGGGCTTGTCTGTCTGTCTGTGGCCTCAGTGGGAGTAACAAGGGTGGCTGAGGCCGCATGGTCTATTCCAGAAGTCTATCCCTGGCTTGTTCTCCTGTCGGCGGAGACGTCCTGAGGTAGCATTGAAGCTGACAGGCCCAGGCTGGGAACCTATGCAGACCACCGTTGGTGTTAGAGTAAGACTGTGGTGAGCTGGGGCTGGAGAGGCAGCTCCGTGGGTTAGAGCACTGGCTGCTTTCCCAGAGGAGAGGGTTGAACTCCTGCACCCATATGGCCGGAACCCAACCATTCGTAACTCTAGTTGCAGATAGCCTGACGCCCCCTTTTAGCCTCCCCAGGCATTGCATACATATGATACACGTACGGATGTATCGAAGTGGGCAAAACACTCATATACATTAAAAAAAAAAAAGCCTGAGATTCAAAGTGGGGAACAAGATTCCAATTTCTGAAGTGAAGGGCTGCAGATAATTTGGCAACTTTTATAGGTGACCACAGAGGTATGATTTTAGGAGCTTGAAGTAGCAATACAGGGGAAGCTGGGATGGCAAATTGAGGTTATAAAGGATCTACTAAGCAAGCTGGGTGGCGGTGGTGCACGCCTTTAATCCCAGCACTTGGGAGGCAGAGCCAGGAGGATCTCTATGAGTTCGAGGCCAGCCTGGTCTATAGAGCGAGATGTAGGATAGCTCCAAAACAAAAACAAAAACAAGGACTGGAGAGATGGCTCAGAGGTTAAGAGCACTGGCTGCTCTTCCAGAGGTCCTGAGTTCAATTCCCAGCAACCATATGGTGGCTCACAAGATGCTGTATACTAAATAATAAGATGCTGTATACTAAATGTATAATAAATAAATAAATCTTAAAAACAAACAAACAAAAAACCAAAAAAACTATACAGAGAAACCTTGTCTCAAAAAAACAAAAAAACAAAAAAAAAACAAAAAAAAAAACACACACACACACAAAATAAAACAAACAAACAAAAAAAACCAACTAAGCTTGCTTAGGAAATATTAAGTTACACAAAGTAGAATTAGCCAAAGGAGCACTCAAGGATAAGCAGTACTTACCACTACCATCCTCTGTAGAAACTGCAGAAAGGAAACACTTCAATATAACTGAAGTGTAGGTTTGCTGAGAATATGTTTCTGTTAAGATGTGTTCACTAGCTGGGCCACGGTAGTACGGGCCTTTAATCCCAGCACTTGGGAGGCAAAGGCAGGTGGATCTCTGTGAGTTTGAGGCCAGCCTGGTCTACAGTTAGTTCCAGGACAGCCAGGGCTACACAGATCAATCCTGTCTTGAAAAACAAAACAAAACGAACAAGATGTGTTCGCTAAGACTGCCTCTGGCCACTAGGCCCATCCCCATATCAAAGGGCATGCCTCTACGGTGCCGTTCAAAGTGGGCAGCACTGGGCCAGGGCCGCCAGCAAGTCCTGGTCCATTATGAAGTTCAGGTTCTCCTAGCAGAAACGGAGTAATTCCTCCCAGACACAGGACGACCTTGGTGAACAACTTCCCTGGAAAAGCAGCCCTGGTGTACTCCAGGATAACTATCATAGTATTCTAAATCTGTGTAAATCTAAATCTCTCCATTTGTCCCAACAGCTAAGCCTTGGAATTTCTGTCTCCGTGAAACATGTTTAACTGTGCAAAGTGTAACTTGAGGCCACACAACTATGTAAGCTGATGGGACTTTTGTGCATTAGCCAGAACCAGTCACCTGCTATAAAGTTTTTCCTTTACGAATCTCTAAGCCTGGCATGACTTCTCACTGGGAAGGCACGTTAATTCTATAACACCAACAGAGAACCAATCAGACAAAACCTCTGCTCTCAGATTTTTTATTTTTTTAAAAGATTTATTCTTTATTTATATGTATGTATGTGCATGTCCATGTAGGTGCCCAAGGAGGCTGGAAGAGGGCATTAGATGCCCTGGAGCTGGAGTTATAGGTGCATGTGCTGCCCAATGTGGGCACAGGGAAATGAACTTGTCTACTGAAATATCAGCAAATGCCACTAACCACTCTTAACCACTCCAGCCCTGAAGTTTTTTTCAATATTGTTTTTGTCTGTTTTGGGGGGTTTCATGTGCCATGGCGTATGTGTGGAGGTCAAATGACATCGTTTAGAGTCAGTTCTCTCCTCCCGCCATGTGGGTTCCAGGGACTGGACTCAGGGCATCAGAGCTGGCAGCAAGAGCCTTTACTGGGTAAGCCATGTTGCTGGCCCCTCAGACCTTAAGAAACTGACAGGGTTGGTTTGTTTGAGTTGTAAAACAATAGGCTGGCGCCGGGCGGTGGTGGCGCACGCCTTTAATCCCAGCACTCGGGAGGCAGAGCCAGGTGGATCTCTGTGAGTTCAAGGCCAGCCTGGACTACCAAGT